CACAGATCACCCATTACCTTGATTCGCAAGAAAGGCAAGTTCTTTTCTCAAAAAGAGATTAGACGCGAAGTGGGTTCGGTTTCTGCTTCTGGGTCGAAGAATATGACTATTACTGAAGTTAGGGAAGAAGTCGACTCGGAGATTGAAGCTCCACTTCTCGATCCTGAGTCTTTATCCAAACCCAGGAGAATTGCTCTCTTCGTCGAGCCTTCGCCGTTTGCGTAAGTCTTATGATAATTTTTGTGCTTGATTTCGTCTTCAGAGTTATCTTGCCTGTTTTGTGTTCGACGAAATGTCTCTGTGAAAAAAAGATCGTTCTGGTTTTTCTTCAGAGTAGATTGGTTGACTTTCTTGTTATATGATTTTTTTTTTTTTAGGTGTGTCGATTTAGATATCATGGATCGTTCTAAAACCAATTTCATTTACGGATTTTGAGTTCAAAGTTTTCACATTTTAGATGCGTGAATTGTTGGGTTGAGAATATCCCTACATTCTTGGGACCACTTAACTAGATCAGGGAAATTTTGTTTCTTTCTCATATATGCCTTTACGGCTAAAATCTATTGATGAGAAGCTGTCTTAAGATCTGGATGTTGTCTAATTAAAGTAATTTCGGTCTTGATTTTGCAGTTATGTCTCAGGATACAAAAACAGATTCCAGAATTTCATTAGGTATCTACGTGAAATGGGAGACGAGGTTTGTTCTTTTTCCAGAATTTGAGTATAGTATCAGTGAGCTAAACTGTTTTCAAAATCAGAATTACTTGAAAAAGTGAAAAAGTTTCCTTTTTTGACTTGTTTAAACTCTTTTGCTTTATAGGTTATAGTCGTTACAACACATGAAGGTGTTCCCGAAGAGTTTTATGGAGCTAAAGTCATTGGATCAAGAAGGTAGCTACGTTTAGCTAACTCAAAAACTCTATAAATGTTCCGAAGTTCGTAGTATCGCTAATTTCTCGCTCTGTTCTTGCAGCTTCCCTTGCCCTTGGTACCAAAAGGTTCCCCTCTCGCTTGCGCTTAGTCCAAGAATAATCTCGGAAATCGCAAGGTTTAAGCCTGACATAATTCACGCTTCATCTCCCGGGATAATGGTAAAAGCCTTTGAGATTTTAAATCTCTAAAGTTTTAGCAAAACTGTGAAGTTGAGAATCCAACAATTGACTGTATTTTCAGGTTTTTGGTGCTCTGGCAATAGCAAAAATGCTATCTGTGCCAATAGTTATGTCTTATCACACACACGTCCCTGTGTAAGCTTCTTATATGCCTCAGTTGAATTGTTATCGGAAATTATTTCCTTATAATTCATGAATTATCGAGAGATGTTTCTAAAGATTAAGCTTGTTGATGTGCAGATACATCCCGAGATACACTTTTAGTTGGTTGGTCAAACCAATGTGGTCAGTAATAAGTAAGTAAACTCTGTTTCTCAAAATGTTGGAAACTCCTTTTTTCGGTTATTGTCAAGAATATGTAACTAAACTTGAATAATCTTTTATCAGGATTTCTTCACAGAGCGGCTGATCTTACATTAGTTCCTTCCGCTGCCATTGGAAAAGATCTTATAGCAGCTGGTGCAACTGCAGGTAAAGGAAGATAAACACATTACTGTGTTATACAATTGCAAATTCTGTGATTGTTTAAAACTAACATTGTTCTTTTTATTCATATTTTGAAGCTAATCAACTTCGACTTTGGAATAAGGGTGTTGATTCCGAAAGCTTCAATCCCCGTTTCCGTTCTCAAGAAATGCGTATAAGACTGAGGCAAGAATAGAATATACTTTCCTTTAGAAGGATTAAGAACATTTATACTTTGTGTGTGAATCTTATTGTTTAATGTTTTGTAACTAACAGTAATGGCGAACCAGAAAAGCCACTAGTGATCCATATAGGCCGTATCGGTGTAGAAAAGAGCTTGGAGCTTCTAAAAAGGTTAGATTTTCTTGGCTTTAAACTGGACTAGCTCCTTTCAAGTGGTGTATCAAAATCTGATATTGAGAAACTTGTGTAGTGTAATGGATAAATTACCTGAAGCTCGGATTGCTTTCATCGGAGATGGACCATACAGGTACTACTTTTGTTAAAGATCGGTCATATTGTTTCCGAAAGAATTTTAGGCAGTGTTGTAATTTTGGTATATTTGGTTTTCTTAAAGAGAGGATCTTGAGAAGCTGTTTACCGGAATGCCAGCGGTTTTCACTGGAACGTTACTAGGCGATGAACTCTCACAAGCTTATGCAAGCGGAGATGTGTTTGTGATGCCATCAGAGTCAGAGACACTCGGCCTAGTAGTTCTTGAAGCAATGGCTTCTGGACTTCCTGTTGTTGCGGCTCGAGCTGGTGGAATCCCTGATATAATCCCTGAAGACCAGGTCAGTGAATTATCTGAATTAAAAGTAACTGCCAAACCAAATCAGTAGACATATAATTCCCATTGGTGCCAATAGCGAATTGAAGCCGAAACCGAACTTTATCCAATCAAACTGAATAATAAGTCATTAGGGGTGGACAATTGTGATCTTGCATTGATTGTTCTCATGGACCAACCAAAGTAGTGTACTTTAGGTGATATTGAGCTAATGTGTTTCTGATTCTGATGTTTATAGGAGGGCAAAACCGGGTTTCTGTTCAACCCTGGAGATGTCGAAGACTGCGTGACAAAGCTCAGAGTTTTATTGCACGACAACGAAACAAGAGAGATCATTGGAAAAGCGGCAAGAGAAGAAACCGAGAAGTATGATTGGAAAGCAGCAACAACAAAGATACGCAATGAACAATACAGTGCAGCGATTTGGTTCTGGAGGAAGAAGAAAGTTCAGGTATTGGGACCAGTCAATTGGTTAGTTAAACGACTCTTCCCTGTGCCGGAAGCTAACGTGTAGAAGAAGCAATACAAAGAGGATTTGGTATGTGAAGATTTGATGATCGTTTTATGGTTTCTTTTGCTGAAAAATCCTCTGTTTGAGTAATGGTGTTTTTTTTTTTAATCTTATACTTGGATTGCTTATGTGTTCATGAATTGTAAATGTAAGATATGTGTCTTATGTCTAGTGGAGGGTTTAAAAACCTTGTTTGGACCTTTGGCCTTTAGGGCTTTAGTGTTTTTAGATCACTACTTTGTGTTTTATTTTTATGTATTAAACTATTATTTTGTTTTGTTTTGTTTTGTATAAAATGATTAGCAGCTTGCTTATCTTTACCTTGTTACAAAGTGTAGCCATACATTTTAAGATAGTTGATAAAGGATACTAGTGTTCAATTCAAGGCACTCACTATTTTATCAATAGGCCCATTTATGAGTACAAAGCATTGGGCCTGGACAACTTACAAGCATGGGCTGGGTCCCATTATTAATCGATCTTTTCATCAAAACAAAACGATTAAGATAGTCCCAAAAGGCAATTATTTTGTCGGGAATATATTTTTATTATATGATAATCTATAAAAATCAAGAAAAAAATCAGTTTAATAAAGTTTCTAAAATTATATATTTTTTTGGCATCTGAAATATATTAGAATTGAAACCTGATTACAACGAGAGCATTGGATTTAGAAGAAAAATAAGAGTTTACATTATCGAATTGAAAAAGACGGAAATTTGTACATTGTAATTTGTCATTGTGGCAGAACGAGTGAACGTGACCCAAAACAAACAAAAGACCACTATGACTCATAGGGAAACGCTGTCGTTTCACAACTTTTAGATATATCGAAATATCTAAAACTTTGTAGATTAAATCTCAACCGTTTAAGTTGCCATGTCATCATTTCCTCAATCGGCTTATATATTTTCTTTTTAATCAAATCTAAAACGACATCGTTTTCAGCAGTCGTCGTAAGTGACTTCAGATACGTATTGCATAAACTCGGGATCATTTTCAATTCCAGCCATAGTTTCCGGCGCAAGAACTACTTCCAGATCTACACTTCCGTTCCCTTCTCTTCCCGGAAACGCCGAGATCTTCCCGTCGAATTTATTCGCTCCGCCGCTTCTCACCGCTAATGGCTTTCCCCATCCGAAATCGTTGTCGTACATCGGAAATCTCGGCGAGCTCCCCATCGTGATCGAAGCTCCGTCTGGATTTCCGAGAGGGAAAAGCCTCGGATCGTTTTCCCAAGCGGCGATTCCTCGTCGAACCGTCGCGTTGTCGTGCGCTATAACGTTCCTGTGAAGCTGGTCGGCCGACCACCGGAGCTCTTTGGTGAGCAGATCTCCGGCAGTCGCCATCGTCGGTATGCTCTGTATCGCGTTCCCGAAGTAGTAAGGATCCATCTTAGGCTCAAGCCGGTGCCGGCAATTAACCGCCATCCTAAACGTCGTCGTTTTGCTCGGATCTAGATTCCTTGCTCGTGTAACGGATCGCCATAACTGAGCACTCAGAGATTGAAACGACGAAATCTCAGCCGTTCGATCATAACTCTTCTTATCCGATTTCAAATAACCGGTA